CAGAAGAGACTTCCTTCAGTAACATTAAAAATATGTTTTGGAAATGTAGTCTTTACCCACTGAAATATGCAAGTTATTCATCACTGGATTAAATATGCACGCATTTGCATATTAGCATATATAAAAAGTGACACAGACCTGAAAGAAAACATCCTAACTGTTATGTGATCAACAACTCTGCGGTTGGTAACTTGGCAGCATTTTGTTTATTTAACAAAATATATAATAAAACACTCTGTGCATGTAAATGGAGATGTTTTGCCCTTTTTAAGATGAAAAGGCCCACAAAATGTCAAAGATAAATGAATTTCAAAAACTCCCCAGCAATTAACAGAAATATCACATTTGAAGCAATGGATAAAAGTAGAGATATTTCGTTTGCTACACGAGCAAAATGTCACTTTCAGAAAATGGCATTTAAAATATATAAAAGAGGTATAAAATAGATATCTAAAAACATTTTAAAATCTTTTTTAATATGTGTCTTTAATAGTTGCACCCTATACCTTCTGGATTGAATGTTATTTTATGTCTTGAATGCAGGATTTATGTGCATGTGTGTGCATGTATGTTTTTGAGTGAGTGTGTGTGTGTGTGTGTGTGTGCGCGAGTGTGTGTGTGTGTGTGCGCACGTGTGTGTATATGAGAGTGCGAGTGTGTGTGTGTGTGTGTGTGAGAGTGCGAGTGTGTGTGTGAGAGAGTGTGAGTGTGTATGTGTGTGTGTGTGTGAGTGTGAGCCAATCAGAGGGTGTGTGCGTGTGTGCATGCATGTTTTTGAGAGTGTGTGTGTGTGTGTGTGTTTGTGACATATGAAGACACAAATTTGTACAATGACATGGGTATGACATAGGTTTTCAAAACGCTTATAAATCATATAGAGTGAGTTTTTTTGAGAAAGTAAAAATGCACAACGTTTTCTGTAAGGGGTAGGTTTAGGTGTAGGGCAATAGCACATACAGTTTGTACTGTATGTGCTATTGTACATGCATGCATGTTTTTGAGTGCGTGTGAGTGTGTGTGCATGCATGTTTTTTACTGTGTGTGTGTGCATGCATGCATGTTTTTGAGTGCGTGTGTGTGTGATTGTATGCATGTTTGTGAGTGTGTGTGTGTGTGTGTGTGTGTGTGAGTGTATGCATGCTTTTGAGTGTGTGTGTGTGTGTAACTGTATGTATGTATGTATGTGTGTGTGCGTGTGTGTGTGTGTATTCTCTCGGGCTGGATGAGGTCCTCTCTGAAGTGAACTGCAGCTCTTCATGGCATATTAAGCAGCTCTACAGTAAATGGGACAGTACTCTGGTATATTAGCAAGCTCTCTAGTAAATCACGCGGCACTACACAAGATTAGCTTCAGTTAAATTAGCAGCGGCCAGATGGGAAGGACATACTGTTATGGAAAATTTCAATAATACATCAGTGCACTGCACATGACAACAGGTTTAAATCAAACGCAAACCAGTTTCTCAGGTTGACGCGTCGCCTCGTCTCGTCTCAAACCAAATGCACTCTGATATTATATGAGTCGATTTGAAGAACAGAGCAAATTAGATCTAGAAACATCCTTAAAGGCAACATGAAATGCTTACAAACAGTAAGTAATAAATCGGGTAACAAATTTAGGTTAGAAAACAATATACCAAGCGCAGAGCAAATTAGCGTGTGTGCATGCATGTTTTTGAGAGTGTGTGTGTGCGAGTGTGCGTGAGTGTGCGCATGTGTGTGTGTGTGTGTGTGTGTGAGAGAGTGTGAGTGTGTGTGTGTGTGTGTATATAAATATATATTTATATATTTATATATTTAATGCCCATAAAAGCATGTCTTAAACTATTTTGCAGACGTGAGGATTTTTTACGCTCATATTAATTAATTTTAAATCCCAGAAGAACACATTATCCGAACATATGGTTTGTCAAGCCATATTATTTTTAATTTGCTTCAGGAAATAAAAGACGACTTGGAACCCTCAACTAGGAGTCACGCAATACCAGGTCTATCAAAACTTCATTTTTTTGGCCTCCGGTTCTTTTCAACGTACTGTGGCTTCTTTATTTCTTTATTTGTGACTAGCTAATTTGCTCTGCGCTTGGTATATTGCATTGGTCGATATGTAAATGAGATGTTGCGTCTGTGTTCTTTAATTTAAGCAGTGTTAGTAAATCACTCGCAGAAATATCCACGCACATCTGCGCTGTTTTGGAATTGCGCTCTCGCGGTAATTTGCCCTGCTTAGTAAAACTGGCCCTAAAACTTTAACTAAAATTAAATGAAAATAGAAAAATTAATTCTAATTCAAAATATTAACAAAAAACTACAATAGTATCTCAAAATAAAACAAAAAACGTTTCTAAAAATGTTGAACTAACTCTATTTTCACCCAAATTGTAACATTATCTGAACATTTATTTTTAATATTCTAAAAACTCTAAAATGTCCAGTTTTCTCATGGCGATTAAAATGCTATTTAAAGGTTACATAAGCATTCCGTACAGCATTCAACTAACTTTATTTATTTTAAAAATATAACGTCACTTAAAAGTTGCTTTTTTTAAATTCTAAGAATGTTAAAATGTGCAGTTTTATTGTCGTGATTATGATGTTATTTAAACGTTATAAAAATGTTCTTAGAACATTCAAGTTAAAATAACATCATAAATACAATCCAAGAATGCTGATCTAATAATGTTTTATCTCAATGTTATGAGAATGTATATCAAATATTAATAATGTTATACAAACATTCCATAAACATTAAGAATGTTTTGTCCTGACATATATAGAACTTAAAAAAAAAACATTAGTGAAATGTTCCGTGTTAGCTGTGAAGTATCGATCGTTTCACAGACAGAAAACAAATCCGAATACACAGAGTTCTGTTGGTGGACATCTAGTTTACTTCCAGCTAAGTCCTGCAAACTAAACTGTAAAACCAGTGAAACCAGGATTGAAAATGAAAAAGGTGTGTTTTGATCAAGTGAAGTTTGGTGTTCCTGGTAAACACAGACCTGCCTGTGCTAATATAAACTCCTGGTATCGAGCGCCGATGTTGTTTCTGGCTGTGCAGTTGTAGCGTCCAAAATCCCGGTCGGACACCGGAGTGACCTGTGGATCAACACAAACCAGAGGTGAGGAGAATGAGAAAACATTGTTTTAGTAGTGAAATTATGTGCTAACCAGCACCTTTTGTTTTGGATGTTTTTTGTATTAATTAGTTTCACCAGAAAGACTTCCCTGGTCAACCTGCGTCACCAGAAAGAGCATGCACAATTAATCAAAACTACACAGACATATTTAAAACAAACAAATAAGGTAAAAACCCACAACTAAAACTTTACCTGGAATTAAAATGAAAATGTAAAAATATATATTAAAAACAGTTACTATACAGATATAAATAAATAACAAAAACACATAACTATAACTTGAACTCAAATATAATCAAAATTGTAAATCTAAAAATAAAACCTAAAAAATAAAATTCTAAAATCCTAATTCTAAAATCCAAATTCAAGATATTAATAAAAAAACTACAATAGTGATCCTAAAATAAAACCGGTCCTACATCAGCACCAAACTAGAACTTCAGACTTGAAACATATTCTTCACAAGATGCTTAAGTTTTTAGCTACTCTATACACTATACTCAATTTTACGCATTTTAATTTTTAATTGTCAATTGATATGCAATAATGCAGCATAAACCAACTTTTACGGTTAGTTAGTTGTTGTTTTTTTCAGGTCAACTACTGACGTGGCTGAGCAAAACGGTTTGAAAAGAATTCAATATGTGCAACGTAAATAAAGTACTAAAACCTCGAGAAGCGATCGGCCGTCTGCGGCGTGGATGCGGATGTTGCTGGTTCCTTGACTGGAGATGGTGAAGCGGTCTCGTCTCCACAGCATGGTCGCCGGAGGGTTGGACTTCACATCGCAGCTGATGTTCACCGGGTTTCCCTCCCATGAGTAGAAGATGGTTTGATTGGTCTGGAACTTCGGCGCATCTGGTGAAAGAAAGACAGAGACTGAGCAAAATAGAACTGGAGGTTGGCAATGTTATCCTAATGGATGCAATGTCACCAAGCATTAAAAACAGGATTTTGGACCATTTCAGGAGGTCCAAGGTCCTCGAAATCCAACTGATCAGCCATCTACACTGTAAAGAGTGAACTTAAAACTAAGATTACTGGAGTAGACTTGAAATTATTTCAGTCATTCTACACATTCATTTCACTGTTACATGCTGTTTCTTTGTACTTCTGCTTTTAATGAAGTTTCCCAGGCTTTTCAATTAAGCGCTACCAGCTAAAAACCATGTAAAACCAGCCATTAGAAGCTTGTTGTGGAATTAAAAATAAAGGCCCTTTAAAATGTCTTGCATCAGGGCTTCAACACAAGCATAATAAATATGGTTATCGTTACTTTGAATAAAATAAATGTAAAAATAAAAATAAAAATAAAAAAAATCCACATTTTTAATATACCTGAAAATTTTTTTCATTTTTGTATTAAAATAACTAAAAAAAAAAAAAATAATAATTGTAATTAAAATTAATTAAAAACTATATTGACTAAAATAAATAAACAAAAATACCTCAAATTAAAACAAATTAATTCAACTAATTCAATTAATACAAAATATGAACTAAAAACTATAATAGTGCTGTTGTATTGGCTAGTTGTATTCCTTTAAAAGTTGCTTTGGATAAAATCATCTGCTAAATGAATAAATGTAAATGTAAACATACAATTATACTAAAATTACACTGGCCTGTACTACATGCGATTGTCGATTTTTTTCATGCATGTTATTGCAACTAAAACTTAAATAAAAATTAATACTAATGGCAAAAACACAACTGACTAAATTACTAAAACATTAAATAAAATAAAAATAAAAATGCAAATAATAAAAACAAACAGTAAAAATAATGAAAAACTATAACAAAATGTAATATCTATAATAAAATAACACCAGCCTGAACTACTTGCGACTCAGTAGCTTGAATTTCTTTCCATGCAATAG